AAGCTGAACTCCAGGCTAACGGCTTAAAGTGGTAGTGAACTTCTGCAAAAATGAATAAAACAACTTCTCCCTGCAAGTTAACATCATAGTGTGCTAATTTGAATAGCGTACTAGCGTATTAAGAAAGAGTTACCCTAAAACAAATCCCTCCAGTGTCACGCTGTCACCGTTGACAGGGCATCCATCCTCACTCGGTTTTCCTTCTGGGTTCATGGGCTCCAGCCATTTGGCTTGGCTCCAGCCAATGGCTGAGCCACGAAGACGTCACTCCCATGCATGCACACGGGAGTCACGTTTGTGGCACAAAACTCTGGAGGGAAGGGATGAGTATTTTGTCCCGTCAGAGCGCACGCACCGGCGAAGTCACCATTTCTGCAGCCGGTGACGATCTCCTAAACGGAGCATGTTTATGAGATATTCCCTGTACCTACAAGTAAGCTTTAATAGAAGTGTCCAAGCAGTGTTTACTACCACTTTAATACACATACGAAATGCATATAAAAAACCATTTTACCTGCTAAAGGACTTGTTTTTCTGTTGATCCAGTTCTACCACACAGCACGCCTTAACAAGCAGTGCTAGAGACCTGTTTTTTTTCTGTGCTGCAGTTTAACACTAAATCCAAATTTCAATTTGTGTGTAGCCCTCTTTGTGCAACAGATCAGTCCTACTGGAAAACAAGCATTCGATCAGCAAATGCAGCCAATGGGTGGTGGAGTCCTGCTGTCTGAATTCAAAGACCATATAAGAAAAGAGAGAACACAGAGCTGCCTCTAAGAGTAGACTGTATAAGATTTATTAAGACCGTGTAAGAACCACTCACATTTGGGTAAATAAAACCGGTTCGCCAATAGTCCATCCACAGTGGGTCTGCACTTGTGCTGTGTAACACTGTACTGCCACTCAGCTGGGGCCCGGGAGCCGGTTCTGTTTGTGTGGAGACCAGGAAAGAGGGCTTGAACGCACATGGAATGCAGCGTCAAACGCGATGATGTATCATGACGTGTTTCTAAGCATGTGCTCTGACGTTGATCGGGTCAAGCGCTCTACTTCGTCAAGCTAGTAACGCAAGGCTATGGATGCCTTACATACAGGATGCTATCTCGTGGTAATATTGGGTAATGCTTATATAACCATATATACATATATAAAACAAGACCATAGTGTTGTTGTGAACACCAATACCCATTAGACATAATTTATAGAAAGATTACATGCAAAAATATCTCCTTCTCTACTGGCGCATTCCCCTCCCCCCTAAAGCACGCACACATCACCCCCATACTCAAAAAAACCCTTCCTAGAACCCACCGACCTGAACAACCTTAGAGCCATCTCCCTGCTGCCATTTACTTCCAAGCTCCTTGAGCGCTTATTCTACAATCGCCTAAGCGCCCACCTCACTGACAACAACCTCCTCGATCCACTACAGTCTGGCTTCGGTCCCCTAAACCGTCCTACTCAAAATCACTAATGACCTGCTAACCGCCAAAGCTAATGACCACTACTCAGTCCTCTTACTCCTCGACCTTTCCACGGCCTTCGACACAGTTGACCACCTCCTCCTCCTTAATAAACTACACTCCCTCGGCATCGGAGACTCCGCTCTCTCCTGGCTCTCCTATCTATCCCAACGCTCCTTCAACGTTACCTATAACGCTACCACCTCCCCCTCTCTCTGTTGGGGTCCCCCAAGGCTCTGTCCTCGGGCCCCTTCTCTTCTCCATCTTCGCCTCCTCCCTTGGCAAACTGATACACTCCCACGGTTTCAACTATCACCTCTACGCCGATGACACGCAAATTTACCTCTCCACCCCTCGCCTCACCCCTTCAGTCTCCGCCCGTATCACCCACCTACTGAATGACATATCAGACTGGATGTCGCTCTATTTCCTCAAATTGAACCTTTCCAAAACCGAGCTCCTGATTTCCCCCCCACCCTCTCCATCACGACCAACAACGCCACCATCAGTCCCACCCCGCAATCCAAAGTCCTAGGTGTCACTCTAGACTAAAACCTGTCCTTCCAACCCCATGTCCAGTCGTTGGCAAACTCATGCAGGCTCCACCTCCGCAACATCTTCAAAATACGTACGTTTCTAACCCCAGACACTACTAAACAACTCGTTCACTCCCTTATTATCTCACGTCTGGACTACTGCAACTCCCTACTCACCGGCCTACCTCATCACAGACTATCCCCGCTTCAGTCTATCCTGAACTCAGCGGCCAGACTCACCCACCTTACCAACCGCTCCTCTTCTGCTACCCCCCTCTGTCATTCCCTCCACTGGCTCCCGATTGCCCAACGCATTAAATTCAAACTACTAACACAGACATACAAAGCCATTCATAACGCTGCCCCAAACGACCTCACCGACCGGATATCCAAATACCACCCAACCCGTACTCTTCGCTCCTTACAAGACCTCTTACTTTCTAGCTCCCTGGTCTCCACCTTCCACGCCCGACTGCAGGACTTCTCCAGGACTTCCCCCATCCTCTGGAACTCACTACCCCAATCCATCAGACTGTCAGCTACCCTCCTCACCTTTAGGCGCACCCTGAAAACCCGTCTCTTCAGGGAAGCCTACCCCGCCCTCACCTAACAGCCGATCTCCTCCACTCCTCCTACCACTCCATCCCCCACAGCCACTTCCTTCTGTACCACTATCCCCTCCCTCCTAGATTGTAGCTCGAAAGAGCAGGGCCCTCGAACCCCTCATGTCTTGTATTGTTACTGTATTGTCTCATGTTCTGTCCCCCACTATAATGTACAGCGCTGAGCAAACCTTTTAGCGCTATATAAATACTGTATAATAATAATATTGAATTGTAGCTTGCAGGTTGCTATGGGCGCACCTGCTGCTCTGTGTGTCCATTCAAACATGGAGCTGCAGCTTGGCTCCACCCCCTCTCTTTTTCTCATTGGCTCACTGGCTGTCACAGCAGTGGGAACCAACCGAGACTACAGTGCACATCGCTGGATCGAGTGGGGGGGGCTTAGGTGAGTTTGCAGGGGTGCTGGGGGGATACTGCACAGAGTATTTTTACCTTCTTGCATAGAATGTATGAAGTAAAAAAGCCTTGCGCCTTTAGAACCACTTTTAAAAGGCACTATTAAAATCTATACAATGCACATGTATGAGAAAAGCACTGTATAGGAAACCTATATAAATGGGGGGGGTGTTAATTACATCATGTGCGCTTTTGTTGTTCAGATTCATCATATATGTGTAAAAGAACGGGGAGGCAGGTATGCATTGGTAACACACTGAGAACTTGATAAAATGGATTTGAAATTAAAGCGTACTTGTCCTAAAATGTTAATACTATCCTTAAGGCTATGCAGCCCTGGACAAAAGTTTTTATAATTAACAGTTTTTATTGATTTTCACATGTGTGTACATAGATCACATTTGAAAGAGAAACAAGAGAAAAAAGCACATCGATGGTAGAAATCTGCAAGGGTACAGAACATAAATGTCACAAAATAACAGTGTAGAAGAAATAAAGACATCCCATGGGTTCCATACTGCCTCAAACACAGCAATCGAACCAGCATGTAGAGTGGTCAAATATTCCATTTGTCTTACATCGGCAATAATTTTAAACAAAATTGGCATCGAAGGAGGTATTTAGGATAGCTAACACAGGAATGCTTCTTCTGACCGCTGTCAGAACATGCGCGGAGAGTTTCCTGGATGATTTGGGTAGGGCCGGAAATGGCAGGCTCAATAAAAAGTATAAAGGCTTGAAAGGGAGAGAGGTATGCAATAGCAATTGTAATAGGGACAAAATCTCTTCCAAAAAAGGGGTAATGGATCCATATATCCAAAAAATATGGTAGAGAGAGTCCTTCCCACAGCGCCAGCAGGCCGAAGAAGCATTTGAATTACAGGCTTGGAGTACTTCAGGTGTTTTGTACCACAACATCATAATTTTGTATGTATTTTCCTTATAAATCACGCAAACAGAGGATCTAGGTGCGTTTTCCCAAATTTTCTGGCCAAAAGTTTTGAGAATGACACAAATAATAATTTTCACAAATCTGCTGCTTCAGTGTTTTTAGATCTTTACTCATAAGTGTCAAAGGCTTTTATTGAACATTTAGATTAAGTTTATGCAAAGCGTTAATATTTGCAGAGTTGACCCTTCTTTTTTAAGACCTCTGCAGTTTGCTCTGGCATGCTGTCAGTCAACTTCTGGGCCACATTCTGACTGATGGCTGCCCATTCTTGCATAATCAGTGCTTGGAGTTTGTCAGAATTTTTGGGGGTGTTTTTTGTTCACCCGCCTCTTGAGGATTGACCACAAGTTTTCAATGGGATTAAGGTTTGGGGAGTTTCTTGGCTATGGACCCAAAATTTCAATGTTTTGTTCCCCAAGCAGGGTGGATAAAAATCAATGATTTTTTTTTTAAAAATCGGATTTTTTTTTTTAAAAATCGGATTTTTTAAAATAAAATGCTTTTTGAGGAAAATATATTACCATCCATCATGAAATAAAGTTTAATTTTTTAATTATGTAGAAAAAGGCTGTATATGTTTAATTTTTTTGGTAAATAAATTCCATTAATCCATTCACAATGTCATGCTCTTCCAGAGGTTTTTGTAAGATTATTGGGCAGTTTTTCTGCCTACAAGATATTATCACAGATGCTTGGTTTACTTTTGCAGTTCTCAAAACTGAATTTGACTCAGCGGAGATCACATGCCTCTTCTTCACAGCAAAAATGTTATAACATGAACAGAGTTAAGAAAAAGACCTTAATCCTAACTTCTACAAACCTATGAAAACAGAATCAACCCCTTCAGTGCTAAGTTTCAAGAAGTTCACTGAATAGAATAGAAACAATATTTTTCTGATTGTTTGGAGTGGAATAGATCTGCACAAGAAGAAAGTGAAACTAAGTGTGAGGAGGAAGGGGCTGTCAGTCTAAGTCTCTTAAAGTATATATACCGTATTTTTCGCTCCATAAGACGCACCTGACTAGAAGATGCACCTAGGTTTTAGAGGCAGAAAACAGGAAAATAAAGAGACTGCGGACATATTACAAGGGATGAGCAGAGACTGCGGACAGTACAGGGATGACCAGAGACTGCGGACAGTACAGGGATGACCAGAGACTGCGGACAGTACAGGAGATGACCAGAGACTGCGGACAGTACAGGAGATGACCAGAGACTGCGGACAGTACAGGAGATGACCAGAGACTGCGGACAGTACAGGAGATGACCAGAGACTGCGGACAGTACAGGAGATGACCAGAGACTGCGGACAGTACAGGAGATGACCAGAGACTGCGGACAGTACAGGAGATGACCAGAGACTGCGGACAGTACAGGAGATGACCAGAGACTGCGGACAGTACAGGAGATGACTGCTGACCTTTGGGGGGGGGAGCGGGTACCTGAATTTGACAGGTACCCGCTCTTACTTCCGCGGAGTTGTTCTTTAATTAGTGTCCGCTCTGCAGCGGGACCTTACCTGTTCCTCTATCCATCCGCGTGCTGTCTTCACGGCTTCTGTAGTGTGGGCGCTTGGCTTGACAGCTGGGTGCCCAGTGTGCATGAGCGAGAAGCGCTACGCTTTGTGATTGGTCCGGCGGCTTCTGGGATCTGTCGTGTCCCAGGTGCCACCTTACCATTCACAAAGAGCACCGCTTCTTGCGCATGCGCACTTGGCACTGACATTTTCCCCCCTATTTTGGGGGGGGAAAAGTGCGTCTTATGGAGCTAAAAATACGGTATTTTGTTCATATCTTCATCTACTTGCATATTAAAGTTATACCAGCAATAATTAGTCTTTATGTAGAAAACTATGATTTAAATCAAGCCTTACTGACTAGTGATTTAAATCGTGATTTAAATCAAATCCACCCTGACCTATAGCTTGAATATGTTTTGGTAAATCCTTAAAAAAAACTAAAATTGTGCCTGTGTGGGGGTGGGAGTAGGTAAGGAGTGCGATATAACTCCCTACTCAAGAAAGAAGCCTCAGATTTATCTATACAACCACTTGTGAGGGCGCTTGCCACTAGAGATTCCGCCTCAATTTTATAGTCTGCTATTGGGTCGTTTCTCAATTTAGCATAAGTGGATGTGTCAGCAAGTTGCCTATATGCCTTAGTGGTGTGATCTTCTTCTTCCCCTTTTTTTTTTTTTTTTTTTTTTTTTTTTTTTTTTTTTATCCTAGAAAAAAAAATTTCTCCGCCCTTATCAGCAGTTTTTATGAATTGATGTCATTGTTTGAGATTTTTTTTAGAGCTAGATTTTCCTTTTTATTAACGTGGCCTAAGGTATTTTTTTTGTAAAGATTGTTGCCAAAGTTTTAGGAAGTCTGAGTATACCACTCTGTAAAATGTCTCCAGGTATGGGCCCCTAGCATGATAAGGGTAAAAAACAGATTTTGGCTTAAGGGATGAGTGTACTATAGGAGGGGAAGTAATGAGATGTTGTGTGTACAAGCTAAGGTTACTGTTGGAACTCTCTTGATATAATTGTTCAACGGTCTAAATGACCTCTGCTTCATAGTCAGATTCTACGGAACAGATGTGGTAGATACATCCTCCTCATTTATTGAAGAGGCTTTGGTTGTTTTTATCTGAAAGTACCTTTTTTAGAGTTAGGTTTCTAATTTATCTGTAGAGATCTTTAAATAAGACTAAAATAGGGCTATTGTTGTAGGGCTCTTAACCACTTGAGCTCCTGAGGATTTACCCCCCTTAATGACCAGGCCTCTTTTTGCTACTCGGCGCTGCACTAATTCAACTGATAATTGCGCGGTCATGCAATGCTGCACCCAAACAAAATTTTTGTCCTTTTTTTCACACAGATAGAGCTTTCTTTCGGTGTAATGTGATCACCTGTGCGCTTTTTATTTTTCACGCTATAAACAAAAAAAAAGCCAAAACTTTGAAGAAAAACAATATTTTTTACTTTCAGCTATAAAAAATATATAGTAAACTCAAAGTTAGTTATAAATTTAGGCCAAAATGTATTCTGCTCCATGTTTTTGGTAAAAAAAAATCCCAATAAGTGTATATTGATTGTAGACGCTATAACTTCCACACAAAGCAATCAATATACACGTATTGGGATTTTTTTTTAGCAAAGATATGGAGCAGAATGCATTTTGGCAGAAATTTATGACTAAATTTGATTTTTGCATTTTTTTTTTACTGGACATGTTTTATAGCAAAAAGTCCAAAATATTGTTTTTTTTTTCCCTCAAAATAGTCAGCCTTTTTTTTTTATAGCGCAAAAAATAAAAACCGCACAGGCGATTAAATACCACCAAAAGAAAGCTCAATTTGTGGGGGAAAAAAGGATGTAAATTTCATTTATGTACCGTATTGTATGACCGCACAATTGTCCGTTAAACTAGCGCAGCGCTGTATAGCAGAAAAATGGCATAAATTGCAGTATTTATACCATAGTTTGTAGACGCTATAACTTCCACACAAAGCAAACTATGGTATAAATACTGCAATTTATGCCTTTTTTCTGCTATACAGCGCTGCGCTAGTTTAACGGACAATTGCGCGGTCATGCAATACGGTACATAAATGAAATTTACATCCTTTTTTCCCCCACAAATTGAGCTTTCTTTTGGTGGTATTTAATCGCCTGTGCGGTTTTTATTTTTTGCGCTATAAAAAAAAAAGGCTGACTATTTTGAGGAAAAAAAAACAATATTTTGGACTTTTTGCTATAAAACATGTCCAGTAAAAAAAAAAATGCAAAAATCAAATTTAGTCATAAAATTTCTGCCAAAATGCATTCTGCTCCATATCTTTGCTAAAAAAAATCCCAATACGTGTAAATTAATTTGTTTACGTGAAAGTTATAGCGTTTACAAATGGCGGGAAAGATACTGGAATTTTTAACTTTTATTTATACTAATAATGGCGCTGATCAGCGACAAATGGCAGCAATCAGCGACATATGGCGGCGACCAGTGACTTATGGCAGGACTGCGGGACTGCGGCGGACATTTTGACACTGGGGGGGAACTGACTTGGGGTCACTGACATCCCCAGTGACACCAATACAGTGATCAGTGAAAAAAAAAACACTGAAACTGTACTAATGTCACTGGGGAGGAAGGGGCTAATATTTTTAGAATTTGGCGTGCGCGCCCCCTACCTGTTTTGAAGGCAGCCGTTTTAAAACGTGCTTTTGCCTACGAGTGCCACCCTGCCGCCGTTTATTTGCGGTGGCTGGGCGGCAAGTGGTTAAGGAAATTGTTTTTTTTTTTTTTATAATTTTTTATTATTACTATTATTATGCTGTTTTTAGGGGATGAGGTCTGGGTCCATGTTTAGGTAATATAGGGTTTTTCCGATGCGAATGAGGAGGGAATGTTTCGATTGATCTGGAACTATTATGTGGTTTGAGGGTTAAGAGCGAAGGTAAAGTTTTTATTTTTCCAAGAGAAAATTCTATTATTGGCGTAACCATATAAATCACGTCTAAGTTAAGGCAATGTTCCTTCCATTTTGTGTATTTTTTTTTAAGTTGTTATACTGAGAGCTGGGGATATGAGTTTTCATATGCAGGATCTCTTGGGATAGGATTTGCACCTGGTGAGTGTATTGTTCAAACCTAGAGTGTCTGTGGTTTATTAAAATCTTCATCCATTTCGATGTACAGAATTCAGAGATGTGTTCCCATTCTTTGGAAATACCAGGAATGGGCACAAATTGATACTTCTGAGTCTTCTAGGTGACATTTTCTATCTCCAGAAGTTTTTGTCAGGAAAAAATTGTCCCACCATTGTTGTTACTTTGTTACTTTTTATGATGCATTAGTCTTTCATGCTTTTTGAATTTTTCACATAATGTGTAGCATATATTGCCACTGAGTTTTATATCTGAAGAGAACAAAGAACTAGGTAGGGTAGTGAATAGATCATCCAGAATGCTATATATATATATATATATATATATATATATATATATATATACACAGGTGAAACTCGAAATATTAGAATATCGTGCAAAAGTTCATTTATTTCAGTAATGCAACTTGAAAGGTGAAACTAATATATGAGAGAGACTCATTACATGCAAAGCAAGATAGTTCAAGCCGTGATTTGTCATAATAATCTCTATCTCCTCGTCCTCCAACGCCTACCCCTCCAAATGTCACACTACTACCAGCCGTAACCTCCGCAACCTTAACCCTGCCCCCCTCCACTCTGCAGCTGATCAACTCCATGACAGCATCCTCCCCCTGTCCTCCCCCGACTTGGCTATGACTGCCTACAACAACGCGCTGTCAACAGCCCTTGACTCACTAGCGCCTTTAACCACACGCAACATCAGACCCTAACCGCTCCAGCCCTGGCAGACTGATCACACCAAAACCGTCAAACGACACGGTCGTGCCCTGGAGCGACTATGGTGCAAAACCAAATCCCAACAAGCCTTCACCCGCTACAAATCTGCCTTCCACACCTACACCTTCTCCCTCCACGCAGCCAAACAAGCCTACTTCCTGACCCTCATCAAGGCCCTCTCCTCCAATCCTCGCTGACTCTTCTCCACCTTCAACTCTCTACTCTCGCCACCTCCACCCAGCACCTCACTCCCTGCCCTTGAGATTGCCAATCACTTCAAAAACAAGATTGACACAATTCGCAAGGACATCGCCGCATCTCACACACCCTCTCAAACCGTCCCCTCTCACACAGCTACCTTCTCATCCCCCCTCCCCCTCGACATAACCCGCAGGGACTTCGTCGCTGCTCAAACTCCCTCCAACCCCGTTCCCCCTCACTCAGCTACCTCCTCATCACCCCTCTCCCCACGGCCCCACCACTGCTCTGACCTCCAATTCCACCCCACCCTACATTCATCATACTGAAGCTCCCCCAACACTCCGCACCTTTGACCTTACTACCATCGAGGAAGTCTCCAAGATCCTCTCTGATGCCGGCCTCACCACCTGCCCCCTCGACCCTATCCCCTCACAACTCCTACGACCTCCCTCCCCCTCCATCCTACGCTCCCTCACCTACATCTTCAATCTCTCCCTCTCCTCCGGCACTTTCCCCTCCCCTCTGAAACATGCACACATCACCACCATACTTAAAAAGCCCTCCCTGGACCCCAATGACCCGAACAACCTCAGACCCATCTCCCTGCTCCCATTTACATCTAAACTCCTCGAGCGCCTAGTCTACACCTGCCTAAGCTCTCACCTCAACGATAACAACCTTCTCGATCCCCTACAGTTCGGCTTCCGTCCTCTACACTCCACCGAAACTGCCTTACTCGAACTCTCCCAACGACCTGCTAATCGCCAAAGCTAATGGCCACTATTCAGTGCTCCTACTCCTTGACCTCTCTGCAGCCTTCGACACAGTCGACCACCCCCTCCTCCTCAAAAAACTACACTCCCTCGGCCTCAGAGATTCCGCTCTCTCCTGGCTCTCATCCTACCTGTCACAATGCTCTTTCAGCGTTACCTATAATGCTACCACCTCCCCCTCACTCCCCCCTCTGTTGGGGTCCCTCAAGGCTCTGTCCTCGGGCCCCTTCTCTTCTCCATCTACACCTCCTCCCTTGGCCAACTCATACACTCTCACGGCTTCAACTACCACCTCTATGCCAACGACACACAAATCTATCTCTCAACCCCCCAACTCACCCCTTCGGTCTCCACCCGAATCACACACCTACTGAGCGACATATCAGACTGGATGTCACTCCACTTCCTTAAACTGAACCTCTCCAAAACCGAGTTTCTTGTCTTCCCCCCCAGCCCGCACACCACCCCCCCCCATTGACTTCTCCATCACATCCAACAACGCCACCATCAAACCCGCCCCGCAGGCCAGAGTATTTGGTGTTATTCCGGACTTCAACCTATCCTTCCAGCCCCAAGTCCAATCTTTAACAAACTCGTTCAGACTCCACCTCCGCAACATCGCCAAAATACGCACGTTCCTAACCCCAGAAACCACTAAACAGCTCATCCACTCCCTCATCATATCACGACTCGACTACTGCAACTCCCTCCTCACTGACCTGCTTTGCCGCTGGCTATCCCTGCTTCAGTCGATCCTGAATACGGCTGCCAGACTCATTCACCTTTCCAACCGCTCCGTTTCCGCCACCCCCCCCCCCTCTGCCAATTCCTCCACTGGCTTCCGGATCAAATTCAAAATCCTAACACTGACGTACAAAGCTGTCCACCATACTGCCCCGAACTACATCACTGACCTAATATCCAAGTACCGCCCAGCATGCACAACACACTCCGCTCCTCACAAGACCTCCTTCTCTCTAGTTCCCTGGTCTCCTCCTCCCCCCATGCCCGCCTCCAGGACTTCTCCAGGGTGTCACCCATCCTCTGGAACTCCCTGCCCCAACCCATCAGATTATTACCTACTCTCCTCTCCTTTAGGCGCACCCTGAAAACCCATCTCTTCAGGCAAGCCTACCCCACCCCCTGCTAACTTGCCGACCTCCTCCACTCTTCCTACCACTCCATCCCCCCCAGCTATCTCCTCCTGTGCCACCATCCCCTCCCTCCTAGATTGTAAGCTCGAAAGAGCAGGGCCCTCAATCCCCTCATGTTTTGCATTGTATTGGTATTGTTCTGTCCCCCTTTGTAATGTACAGCTCTGAGCGATTTATTGGCGCTTTATAAATACTGTATTATAATAATTGTGATGATTATGGCTTACAGCTCATGAAAACCCCAAATCCACAATCTCAGAAAATTAGAATAGTGTGAAAAGGTGCAATATTCTAGGCTCAGTGTCCCACTCTAATCAGCTAATTAAGCCATAACACCTGCAATGGGTTCCTGAGCTTTTAAATGGTCTCTCAGTCTGGTTCATGGGAAAGACTGCTGACCTGACAGTTGTGCAGAAAACCCTCATTGACACCCTCCATAAGGAGGGAAAGCCTCAAAAGGTAATTGCAAAAGAAGTTGGATGTTCCAAAGTGCTATATCAAAGCACATTAATAGGAAGTTATGTGGAAGGGAAAAGTGTGGAAGAAAAAGGTGCACAAGCAGCAGGGATGACCGCAGCCTGGAGAGGATTGTCAGGAAAAGGCCATTCAAAAGTGTTGGGGACTTTCACAAGGAGTGGACTGAGGCTGGAGTCAGTGCATCAAGAGCCACTACACACAGACGGATCCTGGACATGGGCTTCAAATGTCGTATTCCTCTTGTCAAGCTGAACAACAAACAAGATCAGAAGCGTCTTTCCTGTGCTAAAGAAAAACAGACCTGGTCTGTTGCTCAGTGGTCCAAAGTCCTCTTTTCTGATGAGAGCAACTTTTGCATCTCATTTGGAAACCAAGGACCCAGAGTATGGAGGAAGAATGGAGAGGCACACACTACAAGATGCTTGAAGTCCAGTGTGAAATTTCCACAGTCTGTGTTGATTTGGGGAGCCATTTCATCTGCTGGTGTTGGTCCACTGTTCTTCATGAAGTCCAGAGTCAATGCAGCCGTCTACCAGATTTTGGAGCACTTCCTGCTTCCTTCCGCAGACAAGCTTTATGGGGATGCTGACTTCATTTTCCAGCAGGACTTGGCATCTGCCCATACTGCCAAAAGCACCAAAACCTGGTTCAATGACCGTGGGATTACTGTGCTTGATTGGCCAGCAAACTCGCCTGACCTGAACCCCATAGAGAATCTCTGGAGCATTGCCAAGAGAAAGATGAGAGACATGAGACCGAACAATGCAGAAGAGCTGAAGGCCGCTATTGAAGCATCCTGGTCTTCCATAACACTTCAGCAGTGCCACAGGCTGATAGCTTCCATGCCACGCCGCATTGAGGCAGTAATTGCTGCAAAAGGGGCCCAAACCAAGTACTGAGTACATATGCATGCTTATACTTTTCAGAGGTCCGATATTGTTCTATGTACAATCCTTGTTATATTGATTGCATGTAATATTCTAATTTTCTGAGATTGTGGATTTGGGGTTTTCTTGAGCTGTAAGCCAAAATCATCACAAGTATGACAAATCACAGCTTGAACTATCTTGCTTTGCATGTAATGAGTCTATCTCCTATATTAGTTTCACCTATTAAGTTGCATTACTGAAATAAATGAACTTTTGCACGATATTCAAATTTTTCGAGTTTCGTGTGTGTGTGTGTGTGTGTGTGTGTGTGTGTGTGTGTGTGTGTGTGTGTGTATATATATATATATATATATATATATATAATCTCAGATAGGAAGTCTATGGGGTACTACACAATAAGGGGGGTATAATGCCCCACAATATAAAAAAAAAAAAGTAAAGGATGGTATGGACAGCAACACAGATCAACAAATGCAACACAAAAAAGCTTCAGAATACAATAAACACAAAATTTAATATGCAATGTTGTGATCTGTTCAATGAATTACCATCTAATAATCTATAAAACCTGTGGAGAACGTTATGCTGCCTGTAACATCGTTCAGCATAACCGTTTTGGTGGTGGATCAGTGATGGTCTGGGGAGGCATATCCATGGAGGGACGCACAGACCTCTATAGGCTAGACAATGGCACCTTGACTGCAATTAGGTATCGGGATGAAATCCTTGGACCCATTGTCAGACCCTACACTGGTGCTGTGGGTCCTGGGTTCCTCCTGGTGCACGACAATGCCCGGCCTCATCTGGCAAGAGTATGCAGGCAGTTCCTGGAGGATGAAGGAATTGATACCATTGAATGGCCCCCATGCTCACCTTACATAAATCCAATAGAATACCTCTGGGATATAATGTTTCGGTCCATCCAACTCCAGCATGTTGCGCCTCAGACTGTCCAGGAGCTCAGTGATGCCCTGGTCCAGATCTGGGAGGAAATACTAAAGTACACTATCTGTTGTCTCATTAGAATCATGCCCCGATGTTTACAGGCATGCATACAAGTACGTGGGGGTCATATAAATTACTGAGTACCATTTTGAGTTGCTGCCATGTGTTTTGGTTTATTAGCAATTTTGTGTTACAAAACAATAAACCAGGTGTACCTAACAAAGTGGCCAGTGAGCGTATATTCTGCATTTATGTAACCCCCACCTGTTTATATAGGTTTCCTATACAGTGCTTTTTACATAAATGTGCTTTGTATAAATTTTAATAGACGTGTGTCTTTTATGTCACTAATTTTTAATTGGAATTAGTAATGCTAATATATCATTTTTATGTACAATTTAATATTTCTTAATTGCATGTAGTTTTTTTTTTTTTTTTTTTTATACTTTTGTCTAATGGGCATTGGTGCCCACAACAACACTATGGTCTCTTTTTTTTATATACTGTATGTATATATTGGTATATAAGCATTACCCAATATTACCTCTAGATAGCACCCTGTATGTAAGGCAACCATAGTCCCGCAGTATATAAAGGCATCCAGAGCCCTGCATTACTAGCATGATAAAAGAGCGCGCCTGTTGCAATCAACGTAAGAGAGCATGCTTGGAAGCGCGTTGCGATACGTCCGTGAAGTCATTCTGCTCGACGCTGCGTTCCAGCCCTCTTTCCTGTTGTTTACATGCACAGAGCCAGCTCCCGGGACCCAGCTGAGCGCTGGTACAACGTTACAGAACACGAGTGCAGACCAGCCGTGGATAGGCCATTGATGACCCTTTTTTATTTACCCAAATATAAGTGGTTCGTACACTTTGAATAAAACATTTACAGTCTACTCTTGGAGGCACCTCTTTGTTCTCTCCTTTCTTACATGTTATTTGGAAACTGCTTTTACTTATCGTATTTTTCGTTCCATAAGACGCACCTGACCATAAGACGCTCCTAGGTTTTAGAGGAGAAAAACAAGAAAAAAAATATTCTGAACCAATGGACTGCAGACACAGTACAGGAAATGACCAGAGACTGCTGACGTAGTGCAGGGGATGACCAGGGACTGCGGACACATTACAGGAGATGACCAGAGACTGCAGACAGTACAGGGGATGACTAGAGACTGCGAACCTTTAGGGAGGGAGGGGGAGCGGGTACCTGAATTTGACAGGTACCCGCTCCCACTTCCACGGAGTTGTCCTCCCTTTACTGTGGGCACCCGGCTGTGATAGCTGGGTGCCCACTGCGCATGCGCGAGAAGCGCTGCACTTTTGTGAATGGCCCGGCGTCTTCTGGGACCTGTCATGTCCCAGAAAATGCCGGACCATTCACAAAGCGCAGCGCTTCTCGCTCATGCGCAGTGGGCACCCAGCTGTCACAGATGCCGGCGCGGGAAGACTGCGCAGCACTGGACCAAGGAACAGGTAAGGTCCTGCATCAGAGAACAGCTGAGCGGCCTGCCTGATATTCTGACATGGTGGCAGTGGAAATACTGGGCTGGCCGCTTTATATTCGCTTCATAAGACTCACTGGGGGAAAAAAAGTACGTCTTATGGAGCGAAAAATATGGTACTTCAAGAGGCTTGCCCTGAGTTTTGGATATTCCTGAACTCCCATGATCTCCCATGATCCAACCATTTGGATGGACTAACTCCTATATGTATTATTAATGTTTTATCCCTTATGTTTGCTAATTTGTTCATGGAACCTGATTTATTAGATCAGGGGTGTTGAAAATGTTTAAAAAACTATTTGTCCAGGGACTAAATTAGGGTGTCAATCTACTTGTCCCTCATGACAATCTACTTGTCCACATAAAAAAAATATATATATTTTTTAACCAAACTTGTATTTAAATCTGAGGTGCTTTTAAGAATGTCTGGGGCTTTTAAAAACAAAAAGGGGCTTAAATGTTTAATATTTTTGACATTGTGCTGTTTATCTCCTTCTTCCCTCCCTGCCTGTCCCTAGCACCGCACCCAGGGACTAGTAGGGAGGAGAGAGACCTTTTAGTGTAATGAGCAATGATTGGGTGCTCGTATATATTTTCTGAAAGCAGACACCCTAGACAATGTTTTCTATCGCACGATATTACCAATATTACCGCAAAATTTCAGTGAAAAAGACACTTAAGTTAATTTTAGGGCACAAAAAAGCAATAAATTGCCTTATTTTTTTTTTTGTTAAATATAAAAGATGAGGTTGCACTGAGTAAATAGATATTCAACATGTCAAACTTTAAATTTGCTTGTGAAATGGCGACAAACTTCAGTCCCCTATATTTTCTATAGGCAACACTTTTAAAGCCCCTTTATAGGTCATCAGTATAGTGTTACGGAGGGTGTCTTGTGCTAAGATTATTGCTCTCATTCTGGCGTGCACAGCGATATGTAACCTGTGTATCGCAATCGATGTTTTCATGCGTAGGCACCCCAGTATGTGCTTTTACATTTGTACTTGCGTATATATGGGGTGTGGGGGCCTCAAATTTTTTTTGAGTGGTTATGTGCTTGGCTATAACATTAAATTTTTTACAATTTAAAAACAACTTTTTTTCTTTTTTTTTTTTTTTTTACTTTTTTTTTTTCCCATCACATATAGGACAAAAACTCCCCTATGTGAGGATTTTTGGTGACAGGTTCTCTTTGAGACATCCAAGGTCTAAAAGACCCTTGATGTCTCCCCTGTATGCCACTAAATGTAATGCAGTGCACATTGCAACTGCATTACAGTCTTTCTTTCCTGGCCTCTATATTATCTTTCACCGGGGACCTAGAAGTGACATCATAACATCACTTCCAGGTCAGGACAAGAAGGGGAGGGGAGCGGACGTGGTAAAAACCCCCCCCCAAAAAAACGGAACTACATGTCCTGGGCGTTGGGAGATATTAATTCAACATCCCTGTAGATGGTAATTAAGTGAATAGCTCACAACATTGCACCATATTACATTTTGTGTTTGATTGTACTCTGAAGCTTTTTTTTGTGTTGCATTTGTCATTCTGTGTTGCTGTCCATTCCATCTTTTGTTCCCTTTTTTTTACGGTGGGGTATTTTACACCCCCCCTCCCCCCCCCCCCCCCCCCTAGTGTGTAGTACCCCATGGAATTCTAGCTGATATAGAGTCCTATAAATATAGCATTCTGAATGATCTGTACCAGGGGCTGGCAACCTTTTGAGCACAGTGTGCCAAAATTTTTTTCAAAGAAATTGAGCATGCCAGCTACAAAAAAAAAATCAACTTCGCACTCTCAATCATGAAAAGGAATCTTTGAGTAATAAATGCTGTACTTAATGCTTGAATAATAGAAGTAAATATTGAGCTTTGCACCTTCACCTCAGATCACCCCCATTCCTGCACCTTCATAACTCAGATCATCCACAAATCCTGTACCTTCACTCCTCATATCCGCCCCAAATCCTGTACCTTCACACCTCAGATTAGCTGAATTCCTGCATCTGTAAATTAGTAGTTCCCAATAGCTAATATGGTTCATCAGTGCAGAGGACTGGGTCAGCGGGGCACTGGCCAGTGCTGCAGTTTATACAGGGCAGTGGACTGGAGTCAGCGGGGCAGTAGATTGGGGTCAGAAGGGCATTGGCCAGTGGGGCAGTGTACAGGGTTCAGGAGGGCATTGGCCAGTGAGGCCGTGTACAGGGGTCAGGGGGGCACTGGCCATATAGGGGCAGTGTACAGGGGTCAGTGCTGACAGGACGCACAGCTCCTCCTTCCCACACAGTACATAGCTGAGATCAGATTATTTTACAGACACAGCCTTTATCTGCACAGTGTGTAGATGAGTACTGCAGCTTTACTGCTGTTTTCATCTGGATATTTTACAGGTCAGAACAGCAACATATTGTTGCAAGCAGCTATATACTGTCCACATGGAGGTTTTTTCTGTAAAAGAATCTGATTTCAGCCAGGTGCTGTGTGCCCTGTGCAGGGATAGAGAAGCAAAAGAGCAAGCGAGGCATAGCATCCAAAGGGGGGGGAGGGGGGGTGGGTCACAGCATACTTTAGGTCCAGCCAAACACCAGCCTATATCGGCTAAATGTGGGCAAGCCAACTGAGGTGGGCGGGGGATTGGAGGCATACAAATGCTGGCGGGGCTTCCTCCTGTATAGCCAGCAGCAGGCACCTGCCAGGGTGTCCTAGGCTGCCCTTGTGTGCCATCATTAATGCAGCCATGTGCTATGTCTAGTACGTGTGCCAGGGATTGCTGACCCCTGATCTATACTCTACCCTACCTAGTTTTGTTCTCTTCAGATAGAAAACTCATTGGAAACATGCTACACATTATGCGGTAAATTCTAAAAGCGTGAAATACTAATGTGTCATAGAAACCTACAATGGTGGGACAAATTTTTCCTGACCAAGTATCCTGAGTTAAAAATGTCACCTAGAGTACTCAAAATCGCCAAAACATGCCCATTCCTGGTAATTCCAAAGAATGGGAACACATCTCTGAATTCTGTACATCCAAATGGATGGAGATTTTAATAAACCACAGACACTCTAGGTTTGAACAATACACTCACCAGGTGCAAATCCTATCCCAAGAGATCCTGGATATGAAAACTCGTATCCCCTGCTCTTGGAATAGCATCTTGAAAAGAACACAAAATGGAAGGACGATTGCCCGATAAATACAAAACTTGGTAAACTTAGGTGTGATTTATATGGTTACACCAATAACAGAATTTTCTCTTGGAAAAATAAAAATAAAGACAATAATTTTACCTTTCGCTTTTAACCCTCAATCCACATAATATTTCCAGATCATCCCAAACATTCCCTCTTCTTTCGCATCCAAAAAACCCTATATCGTCTAAACATGGACCCAAACCTCACCCCCTTAAAACAGCATAATAATAATAAAAAACCCAAAATCAATTTACTTAAGAGCCTTAATCAGTTCTACAACAATAAGCCCCCCCGAGTACACGCATATTCACTGCTCCAACAACTTTGGATTCTGATAAATGCATGCATATAGTAATAAATCCTTAGAGGATAACAGCCCTTTTACATCTGCTACAGTTCATAATACCACCTTATTAGAACCCATTGTCATGAATCCATTTTCATATGTGTTCCAATTCCATAAAACTATCAGTTCCTAACAGCACATCCATCTCCCCACCTATCGTTCATGATCAATCAAATATTCTTTTCTTGTCTTCCCCCCCCCCCCCCCCCCCCCCCCCCCAGCCCAGACCCCACCCCCCATTGACTTCTCCATCACATCCAACAACGCCAATATCAAACCCGCCCTGCAGGCCAGAGTACTTGGTGTCATTCTGGACTCCAACCTATCCTTCCAGCCCCAAGTCCAATCTTTAACAAACTCGTGCAGACTCCACCTCCGCAACATCGCCAAAATACGCGTGTTCCTAACCCCAGAAACCACTAAACAGCTCATCCACTCCCTCATCGTATCACGACTCGACTACTGCAACTCCCTCCTCACTGGCCTGCCTCTGCCAATCCCTCCACTGGCTTCCAATTGCGCAACGGATCAAATTCAAAATCCTAACATTGACGTACAAAGCCGTCCACCATACTGCCCCGAACTACATCACTGACCTAATATCCAAGTACCGCCCAGCACACACACTCCGCTCCTCACAAGACCTCCTTCTCTCTAGTTCCCTGGTCTCCTCCTCCCATGCCTGCCTCCAGGACTTCTCCAGGGTGTCACCCATCCTCTGGAACTCCCTGCCCCAACCCATCAGATTATCACCTACTCTCCTCTCCTTTAGGCGCACTCTGAAAACCCATCTCTTCTGGGAAGCCTACCCTACCCCCTGCTAACCTGACCGACCTCCTCCACTCTTCCTACCACTCTATCCCCCACAGCTATCTCCTCCTGTACCACTATCCCCTCCCTCCTAGATTGTAAGCTCCAAAGAGCAGGGCCCTCAATCCCCTCATGTTTTGCATTGTATTGGTATTGTTCTGTCACATGTTCTGTCCCCCTTTGTAATGTACAGCGCTGAGCGAACTATTGGCGCTTTATAAATACTGTATAATAATAATAATAATATTACTCCATTGTGCACTAATACCTCTCCCACTATATCACAAAACCATGCGTGTGCATGGCAATCATAATACTGTCACCCCAAAACCACCAGTGGAGACATTTTAGGGA